AAAATTTAAACATAATTTTAGTAGTAATGCTTAGTTTTAAAAACCAACACTAAATAAGTTGTTGATTTTCATTTTTCATTTTGAAGTTTAATCATCAAGATCATTTAAATTTTTACGTTAAAAACAAAAAATTGACATTGCTAACTCTATTTAAGGGTTCTTAAGTTTTGTTTGGTTGGAATAAAAAGAATTTTTTTTACTCAATCAAATTATAATGCTAATTAAAACTATACTATTGTAATATAATCAATTAAAAAGTTTATTTCTTCCCTCCTCTTTTCTTAAACGGAATGTACCTTTTTCTCCTTTCCTAACATTTAGATTAATTCACAGTGCTTTTTTTAAAGAGTTATCTGTTCATTAAAAATGTTTTAAACCTTGAGCAAGACCTAACTTTCCTCGTGTCTTTGTCAAGGCTCGTTCCCGGTAGAGTTGCGGCATCGAGGGGGTTTGTTCCCTTCGGTGGCACATGTTTCTTGAGGGGAAGTAAGCATGTTTCTTTTGTTTTGTTTTCTAGTTGGAGGATAACAGGTGCTGATCGCCTACTCTTGTTTACAATGGGTGAACGAAAGGTGCATTTTGAGATGCTGTGTTTTTCAATTTGGGCTTTTCTAAGGAAGGTTGAGATCGAACTAGGATCTCCTAGTTAATTTGTTGGCAGTGTCTAATTGTTATTGGGCTAAGCAGTTTTAGTTGGAGACTTGCAGCACGTTTGGAGTATTGGATAAATGTGGAATGGGACAAATTTTTTGTTCGATCCCACCATAGCCAATGTTTGGGAGGATCAAAAGATTGAATAATTTTTATCTTAACTTTTATCTTATACCAAGTGCATAACGTAAAATGTATCCTACTTTTCCCTTAGAATTAGGTGGGATAAGATTGAATTTTGTCCTTTTACACCTCAATCTAACTCCTCATCTCCCAAGTCGCTAGTAGCTCTCCATCTCCCTAACGATTTTCTGTCTTTGCCAGCATTATGCATCAACTTTCATAAGTTCATGGACTTCAATCACAGCTCACCCCTCATCTCCCTCTCGATTCTCTTCCTTCTTCCCATAGTTGAAATCACTACCTATCTTCCCACTCCCAAACCTAATTAGAATCCATCACCCTTCCACTATCCTCCTTTCACTCCACCATCCGATCCCTTTATTCAAGTCACCAAAATATTCTTAATCCCCACTGATTTACACTTTAAACTAGAACTACCCAAGAGTTGCTGAACTCTAGCAGCCACAAAGTGGACGTACTACAATCACACCGAATAATTCTCTGCATCCATTTGCCATAGGTTTGACAAAATTGAAAAAAGCTCAACTAATTAATGAAGTTAATTTCATTTTCCTAATAAACCAAAACAACAAGAATAAAGTAATTTTAATAGTAATAAAACCAACGAGGAGTTGGATCAAGTGATAAGCGACTTGTTCCAGTTTAAATAAGATCTCGAATTCGAGATCTTGCATATGTAGTAGCTTTTGTTGGGAGACTCACTCACCATTTCCAGGTGCGTGATGTAAGTTGATCCGGATTAGTCGGGACGAAGTCCCATATACCGAACAGGAAACCAAAAAAAAAAAATAGTAATAAAGTAGATTTTTGTTTAAATGAGTATAAATTAATTATTAATTGTATCTTCTATCAACAGTAAAAAAAAATTTTAATTTGCAAAAAATTTTAAAAAATAAAAATATTAGTATTAAATTGCACCATAAAAATATTTTTGTCAACAAATATATATGTTTATATCCAATCTTCTCACACGCCAAACATTTAATAGAACTATTAAATAGTCTAATCTTATTTAATTTCCTCTAATCACATTATTCTTATCTTGTCCAATCCTATCTAATCTTATATTCCAGACGTCCCGTTGGAGTTCTATTTAGGTGAAGTTGGTGAAGAGGGAAGAACTCTACTTGGGCACGATTGGTTCACAACGTTTTCACAAAAAATATTTTAAAAAAGTCAAGTCATTTAAGTCAAGTTTATGAGTTCAAAACTTAAAATATGGTTAGGAAAATAAATACCTAAAGTAATCATTATAATGCTTATAACTGGTTGCAATGTGCATCCAAGCATTGTTTCTCATTAAAAACATGAAAAAAAAAAAAACTTTGTGAACTTGTAATCAATTATATTACAATGTAATTAGACTATCTGAGTTTTAATCACTTTTCAAATCACTATAATTGCTTATGAAGACTTAATTTTTATGTTAAAATTTTAAAACATTGAGCCAACTGGACAAAAAGAACCCTCCCACCGACTTTCTTGACATAAGTTTTAAGGTTCTAGAAGAAACCAAACATGCAGAAGAACTAATTTAACTGGATTAGTTTCAGCAGGGTTAGGGAAAGCGGATAAGCGGAACCCTATTACCATACCTAGACACCATAGCCAAACGCTTCCCTTCACCTGTATTTCCCCGTTCTTTCTGCTCGCATTCCCCATTTTTATCCTAACCTTTGTTTTCCTACCTTTCCTCATCTTTTTTATTTTTTATTTTGTACAGGATTCTTCACTAATATTCCTTTGAATTGTTGGCGTGGGACTTTTGTTTTGGTAGTGGTGTCGGGGCTTTATGGATTTTTTTTTTCCTTTTTTAAATAAAATCTGGAAAAATAAAAAATAATAAAAAATTTTAGGAAAAAAGTTAGATGAATTTTAAAAAGTAAAACAATATAAACATTTATTAGAATTGTTACTTTATATTATTACAAAAATAAATTTAAAAGAAACAAACAAACGAGGATAAATGAAATGGAAAATTGATTAAATTTACATATATATATATATAAGAAAAATGCATATTAATCCTAATTTTAAAAAAATAAAATTTTAATATTAAATTATATCATTTTATTTAATCAAAACTCAATTTAAAATTTTAAAATTTATCTTATTAAGTATTAATATTTAAATTTAAAAATTTAGATTGGAGATTTTAATTTTTAAATATAAATTAAAATTCTAATTTTTTTAAGAATTGGGACTGATATGCACTAACTTATATATATATATCTATAAAAATCATGACTGTGAAGGAAAGAAAATGAGGGATATTGATTTGGCCGTGCAAATTTGACATATATGATATATAGCCTCTTGCTTCCTTGGTGAAATCATATCTTATAGTCAACACGACTTTAGCCAGTCGATGTTAATCCCGAAACCCTCAATATTAATGAGGTATATATATGTATATACATTTTATAAAAATCATGGTTGTGAAGGAAAGAAAATGAGGGATATTGATTTGGCCGTGCAAATTTGACATGTATGATAGCCTCCTGTTTCCTTTGCTGATATCATACCTTAAAGTCAATACGACTTTAGCCAGACCATGTTAATCCCGAAACCCTCAATATTAATGAGGTCAAAGGGAATCACTTAAGTTTGTCAACAAAAGAGACCTTACAATAGAAAAAAATGTTTTTTGCCACAAATGATGGGAAGCAAATCTACCTGTAATCTAGAGAGTGAAGAAAGAGTGAAGATTTGTTTGACCACAATTTGAATGATAAGGATATGACCTGTTTTGTGAACTCTCCTTCTACCAATAATTTCTTACCTTTCAAAGAATTAACATAGCTAGTGACATGGGAATAATTTTTTATATTAATTTTTATATAATTTTTATATTGTTAAATGAGTAGATGTATTGAATATCATAAGTATTAAATAAATAAATAAATAAGTTAATAATTTAAATAATATATAAAATTATATAAAAAATAATACAAAAAGTTGTTCTCAAATCATTTTCCAATTAATATTTCTAACTTAGTTGACGTCTTTTAATAAAGGCTTAATGTCATTAAAAATCCTCAAACTTTATAAAAAAAGTCATTGTCATCTCTCTAATTTAAAGAAATTCAAAGATGTCCTCAACTTTAAAGAAATAACAAGCATCATCCCTCTATCAATGGACATCATAGTGACACCCATCTGCTAAAAATTCTTTAAATTTATCAATGGCTTGTTAGTTTAAGTGGAAAAAGTTTGCTTCACCTTAACTAATATCTTAAATTTGAGTCTTGTGAGTAAAAAAATAAGTATTAAAAAAGCTTTTTCTTTTATAAAATTCGATATGATTTGATTAGAAATTAGTTAAAACTTAACGTGGCTTCTGGAATTTGAGGGGATAATAACAAAAAAAAAAGAAAAGAAAATCTCTAAATTTTAATAGTAAAATAGCATTGTTGATCCCCTTAACTTCCAATTCCTATGCACTTTGTCCTCAAACTTAAGATTATTTAATTTGGTCCCATATTTCAACGTTTTTATTACAGATTTTCTAATTTTATGCATTTCAATCTTTTTTTCACAAATAATAAAAATCATGTAATTTCTACTAAAACTACATTCAAATATTCATCTCATTTAAATATCAATAAAATCAAGAAAAAAAATCAAGTCTAAAATAGTAAACTAAAATATATAATATTCATATCATTAAAGTGCAAATCAAGTTTTTAATACCCCTTGTTCCAAAAAAGTCTTTGAT